CTACTATGGTCCAGTTCCAAGCACAGCCCCATAATCCATACTCTACGATAAGTACTTAACCACTGAGTCTCTGAAACCATGTGGAACAAGACTCCATCCACTGAAAAGTCAGGTAAGAAGCACAAGGCAGTTTTCTGGACCTCAGTACCAGGCTGGCAAAACCTACCCTGGGAAGATCCCAAAGCCCCTAATACCAGGCCATTACCCAAGACTATAGTCCCTATAACACCTACAGTGGCAGAAAAATACCCTAAGCCCTAGTCCATCAGATTCTATTCCAACACCACCCACTGGCAGCTGTGATCTTGGGCTAGGATAACTCGTCTGGGTCATGAGTATACCTCAGCAGTAGGCAGCTTGTAGTACTGTGGGCCTTAGTCCAACCTCAGTACTGCTGGTCTCAATGGGCTTTGGATTAGGAATATGATACAGGGTTGTGGTATTGGTGCCCACTTCTTTCTTCACAGGAGTTCAATTAGTACAGCACGGAAAATAAAATAAAATAAAATAAAATAAAATAAAATAAAATAAAATAAAATAAAATAACTGCCTAGTGGAGGAAAATGCAAGCGAGTGTTAACCCTCATGACACAGGAGACTGAAATATGTCCCTCTGTAGCAGGTTAGCCCAGTCAGGCAGCATTCCACCACAAGGTTAATAACTGTAGACAGGATCTCTGTGCCTACCCCGGATCCAGAAAGAGGCCTACAGGGACAACTTTTCGGGTGTTCCCCAGTTCATACTGAAATTACCAACTGTTGATTTGGAAGAAAACTGTATTTGAATCACTGCCTAGTACTGAAACAGTATCAGTGTTCATAAAAATTATTCCTTTGGCCACCACGTCTGACACTAGCAGATTGCACTTGACTCTTACAGATGAAAATTCACACACATTCTGTAGACTCCTGACAAATCTGGACTTAGGGTGATGTCAAATGCTACAAATCCAGAAGGAGTAAAAACCCTGCTTAGAAGTCTTGCAAAGATAAGCACAAAATCTGCAGAATTGAAAGTGCCGGATTCTTCAATGTGTGAATGAGCTCAAATACCAACAAACATGAAAAACGTTTTAGTTGAGATTGACTGACAGTCAAAACAAGACAAGATACTAAAAACACGTGAACTCCTGAATGGAGCTCTAATAGCTGTTTTAAAGAAACCACGAGCTTACAGAACACAAAGAACTAATTCAAAATTCTAACACAAAACAAAAATGTAGACAATGCTTAAAAATCAAACAGAAATCTTACACCTGAAAAAAATATACTAGAGAATTTTAAAACATACCCAAAAAGGACATTAAGATCAAGAGTAAATCTGAGCAAAGAACAAGCCCAAAGACACACTAGTCAAGAGCACACAGATGGAGGAGGAAGAAAGACACACTAGTCAAGAGCACACAGATGGAAGAGGAAGAAAGACACACTAGTCAAGAGCACACAGATGGAGGAGGAAGAAAGGAAACAAGAAATTAAATATGTGCACAGAAGTTTTGAGGCAGCATTAAAATACTGGGTTGTTGTGGTTAAAGAGAGACTAGATACTGCCGAAAGAAGAAGAATCTGTATTAAGCAAACAATCAGAAAACTTAGGCCTAACCCCCAGAAAAGATACAGGGACAGGAAGATCAAAGACCAATAGCTAGATTCAGTTCAATTGCGTCTACTCCAAAATATATTATAGCCATGCTCTCAAACATGGAAGACAGGAGATTCTCAAGATAGAAAGAAGGGGAGAAAAGCAATGCATTAACATGTCCTGACAGCAGACTTCTCACCAGGAACCTTACAGAACAGGAGAGGAGTGGGATTCTTATAGAACTGAATGAGAAAACTGACAACAAAAAAATACTATACCTAGCAAAGCTGTCATTTAGAAGTAGAAAGATAAAGGCAGTCCCAGATTTCAGTGGGAAAGGCTCTACAAGAAATGCTAAAGATAGTTCTTTAACTTGAAATTAGCCTGAATGACTAACAAGAAAAACAATAGAAGATATAAAAATAAAATGCTACTGGCAAAAAAAACACAGAAAAACAAGATGAAATTGCTCTAATATGTAAGTATGATGTGTCAACCATTCACAGCTTTAGTAATGACTAAAAGAACAAAATGATTTTTAAAATAACTACATCAGTATGCTTAGAGATTGTAGCGGGAAGTATTACAATGGAGTGTCTGCCTGGCTTCCGGCTTAACCATCATGTTCCTGCCTGGTCTCAGCTGGTGTCCTTCAGACCATTCTCTCTAGCGTGCTCCCTAGGGACCTGGTCACTGTGTTTCCAGCTCCGGTTTGCTCATCCCTGGAGCTGCTAGTTCCTTCACAGCAATAACCACCCAGTTGTCAGCAGACACACCTTCCAGTAACCCAGCAAATCAAAACTCTAGATGATTGAAGTTAACTAATGGATTTATATATATCAATAAAGTCTCAAGAGATGAGCAATATAGAAAGATGTAAAATGGAAATTTAAAAAATCAAAATAAAGCCACACTTTAATTCCAGGCAGAGGCAGAAAGATTTTGGAGTTGAAGGCCAGCCTAGTCTACAGAATGAGTTCCAGGACAGCCAGGACTATGTAAAGAAACCCTATCTGAAAAATAATAATAATAATTAATAATAATAATAGTAATGCAATAATATCAAAATCAAAATGAGGAAAAGAATAAAATCCACGTATAAAATGTTTTATTAACATACTTCCCCTTAGTTCTTTTCTTTATGATCATAACATATTGCTATCATTTCAAAATGCCTTATTATAATCAAAAGACCATTTTCATAATGTCCAAAAAGCAAGACTCTACAACTGAGAGAAAGAAAATTACACTCAAGAACAAAAGCACCCTTCTAGACTAACTTCTGAACCACAAAGAAAAAGCACAAAAGAGGAAAATTCATGCTGTTTGCATACCTGAATATGTCACACTGAAACCTATTAATATGTATAGTTAATACATAACAATCAAAGAGCTCTATTGAACATCATGATGGGTACAAAAAACACGGTAGCCTTCAAATCTTCTCACCAGAAAAATATGTGATGTAATTTATCTGTTAAATAGCTTTATTCGCCCATTCCGCAATTTTTATATGCCGAAGTCCATGTTGTACACTAAAAATACAGTACACCACTACTTTGACTTGTCACTTTAAATAAATAAGTAAATAACAACAACCAAAAATAGGATGGAGGGAGGAAAATAACTAAAATTGGTAGAATTCAAATTTAAAAGTAATTATAAGGTCTTTCCCCATCAGTAATCACTTGAAATTTAAATAGTCAATTTCTCAATTAAAAACTATGAACTAAATGGAAAAATTAAGAATCCAACCCTATGTGTCTCATACTATTTCTACTATTCAGAAATGGCAGAGGACTTTCTATGTAAATTAAGTAAAATGTCATGAGATTATGGGGAAATTATTCTAAATTGTACTTATAACATGATCCTAACATTCCAATGACTGTAACAGCTTTAAAACAGAGCTAGACACCTAGCACTGCCTTGCCTGAAGGCGCTGTAAGTCTTTAGCAGTCAGAACAATGTGGCTTGGCCTAGAAATAGATCTTGAACTAGAAGAGTCTGTGTGAGGCCAACTCAGATGTTGACCACCAATTCTGGACAGAAGAACAAAGGTAACTCAGTTAAAGAAGATTCATCTGTGTGACAAATGGTGGTGTAACAGCTACATTTTCAGACCTCCAAAGAAATATACATTGGAAGTTTTTCCTTTTTAATCATTAAATTTTAACCAAAAGTGGATCATGTGTATAACTATAAAATATGAAAGTACAGAATTTCTAAAAGAAAGTTTAGAGGAAAGGATTTGGAGACAGCTCCGTGGAAGTGCACCTGCTCTGCATGACTACTGTGCTCAATCCCCAGCACCACAAAAGAAAATACTAAAGAACAGGTTTCTGCCTTTGATTCAGGCTAAAGATATAAAGTTTCTAAAAGAAATAGAGGAAAACATTTTGACTCTAAAGTCAGCAATGATTTTGTTAGAATCAATGATTTTCTTAGGAACTACTGAATCAATAGCAAACCAAACATCATCAAAGTAAAAATTGTGTTCATCACAAGATAGATAAGAATGGTGTGGTGGCAAAGGTCGGGGGGCCTAGGAAGCAGAGCTGTGAGAGTACAGAGCTTAAAGCCAGCCAGGACTCCACAGTGAGCTCCAGGCCAGCTAGAGCTACACCGTGAAGCCCTGTACAAGAGCCTACACATGATCAAATTATATTTAAAAAATTTCAAATGAAACAGTTGTAATGCATATAGCTTTTAAAAGAATACAAACCACTTTTACAATTTACTACAAAAGTATAAAAAAATAAAGGTTCACACTGTTCACCAAAGAAAATATATAAATGCTTATGAAACATAAGAAATAGCTTCTGCCTTTACTCAAGAAAGACTACAGTAAAAAACGGATACATCCAGTAGGAAGGCTGCAATTTACAACAGCAACAAAAGATGTCCTATTTAAATTCATTTCTTCATTCTGGAAAATCTTTTCTATAATCTTGCATATATAAAACATTAATACTTTATACCAGACATATCTCAAATCCTGAACATCATATAAAAGACTTATAAAAATATGGATATAACACTTAATCAACATCAATTTTTACTTTGATGATGTCTGATTTGCTATTGATTCAGTAGTTCCTAAGAAAATCATTGATTCTAACAAAATCATTGCTCACTTTAGAGTCAAAATGTTTTCCTCTATTTATTTTAGAAACTTTATATCTTTAGACTGAATCAAAGGCAAAACATTTCATATTTTTTATTTCTGCCGGGAATGAGTATTATGAATACTATATTTGGGTCAATAAGGTGGCTCAGCAGGAGAAGGCATATGCCACACAAGCCTGATGACCCAAGTTCAATTGCCAGACCCACAAAAAGGTGGATGGCGAGAAACCCAACATAAACAAACAAACAAACAAACAAACTGTACCTAGCGATGAAACAAAATGTTTACCTGTCTGAAGGCATGTCACTGGCAATCTGGTGCTTCATTCCTGATCCATTTTTAATAGAATCCTGTCTTGTGAGCCCATGAGCGCGACCTTTCTCAACTGCAGGTACTGACAAGTCACCTGAGGGTCCTTGGAACTGGGGCTGCTCATGTAGCTTTGCCTTCTTCTCCTGAGGGGCTTCCTCATTTCGAAGCCCTCGAAGAACCTTTTGATCGGGCTGCTGCGGTGTATTAGACCCACTGTTATAAAACCATGCTCCTGATTTAGTGAGGATTTCTTGTTGCTTTCGGCACAAATTACACACCCACATAACCTGTACCAACGACATAAAAAAAGAAAGAAATTAGTCTCCCTACATAGTGAAAAATTAAAGGCAAACAAAAGAAGAGGAAATTCAAGCCAACAAGAAATTACATGGTTATACATCTCAAGTTAAAATAAAATCAGGATTAATTGCTGCTATAAATTAAATAATTCATCCTTTAATTTTTAAAGGATGATTATAATAAAATTACACTGACATAAAAACCCACATCAAAAATGACAATTTTTTGTTTATATTCTGTAATTATATTTATTTAGTTAGAAGCATGACATAGTAAACAGAGAATGAATTTGGGAGATAGTCAATTTTAAATGTATCTCTAAAATAGGAAAGTAAAACCTTCAGCAAGGTATTAGACCTTGAAACATATAAAACACAGTTTCCTTAACAAACAAAGGAGAGAGGTAAAATAATAGACTTATTTTCTTATATTGTTTTTAAAAATAGAAATAATTCATAAAATATCTGTTGTATAATACATTTCCAGTAAATTAACTGTTAATATTAGGGTAAAATTGTCTACCACCAACTATATTATATCCTTTTTTAAAAAGTTTTATTTATTTTAATTAATTTCTTTTTTTTAAAGATTTATTTATTTATTTTATGTATGTGAGTACACTCTTGCTCTCTCTCTTCAGACACACCAGAAAAGGGCATCAGATCCCATTATAGATGGTTGTGAGCCACCATGTGGTTGCTGGGAATTGAACTCAGGACCTCTGGAAGAGCAGTCAGTGCTCTTAACCACTCAGCCATCTCTCCAGCCCCTTAAGTAATTTCTAATGACAAAAAAAACCCTAAGAACACTACTAATTTCACTAAAACCTATTAATTGATCATAATTTATAATGCTATATTAGATTCTTTTACCTTCATGTCTACAGTGATTTTTGTACTATTCACAACAGCCAACATATCTAACCTAGACATCCATCAAGAGATGACTAGATATATGTGGTAAATATACACAACTGAATCTTATTCACCAATAAACAATAATCATGATGTGCGCAGGAAAACAAAAGCAGCAGGAGATCTCTATGTTGTGACACAAACCAGACACAGAAAGAAAAATGTTACACACATTCTCTCATATGCTGACTCTGTATTTAGGGATGGGGAAAGCGGTGGAACAGATACTAATGCCGTGGGAAGGCATGGAAGAGTGGGCAGGAGGGAAAACAGGAAAGAGAGTGAATATGGCGCATGGTAGGTAGGTAGACAGACAGACAGATGGACGGACTGAGAACAGACAGACAGATGGTAGACAGATGATTGGTAGATAGATGGTAGATAGATAGATAGATAGATAGATAGATAGATAGATAGATAGATAGATGATAGATGGATGGATAGATAGATAGATAGATAGATAGATGATAGATAGACAGACAAAAAGGTGAGGTCTAAGGGGAGTTAGAGAGAACAGAGAGTAAAGCAGAAAGCAGACAGGAGTAAATATAGTCAAAGTACCTGATACAAGAAATGTACATCAATCAAAATATTTCCAAAAAATACAAGATATACTTGATTTTTATTAATTGAGCCATCTTCACGATTAAATAATATTCAGTATTATTAACTATCTTCAAAATGTTCCCAAATAGAACTTGAAAGCGTTCGTACAAATTTGAATTATAAACTGTACAATCAGACAGTCATGTCCTTTTCTTCCCCTCCTCCCAACCATGATGATAGCCATCCTGTGCTTCATTTGTAATGTAAATACTTTCTTCAGATTCAGTAACCTAAGGACATTATTGGCTATGTGGCCAGAAAAACCTTTTCTCATCTCAAAAATCTTCTTTTGGTTAACAAAAAATTCTAAGAATAAATAAATAAATAAATAATCTATATGTTCATGAAATGCAAGGTAATCACATATTTAAAACAAGTACTGATCACATGCTTACGCTGACTCTCATACAAACTTCATGTTTCTTGATTTTTTTCATATTTAAATGACTTACAACAACATAGATGATTATAGTAAAAGAAAGCCCTGTTCTGCATAGCAATTAACAACAAAGCAGAAGTAAGCTCAAAAGATAACTGTCCATCACTGCATCCAACCTGGGGCTTTTCACTGAGATAAGGATGTTTGTGTAAAATATCATTTAAATGATTTGCTTATATTCCACTTAAGCAGTTTATATTATCTGTATAATTTGTATAGTTTACTATGATTATGATCTTTGTTCTATCATTGCATGGGAAATAAATTCCTTTATTCAGTTCTAAATTCACTTTTTTTTGTTGGAAACAAAGGCTCCATCTTCTACTAGCATAATAAGAACATATAAGTCATAGACTACTATGATCTAAATGCTTACTAGCTTGAAGTCATCTGAAGTAATCCTGAAGAAAGCATGAGGCATGCGGTACTATAAAACCAAGATGTCCGCGCATCAATTCCCAAAGAGGCTACTCATCAGTAACGTCAATATATGTCAAGTTTATTTTTTAAGTAAATAAGTATTTTTACCAAAAACCCTGTGATCTCACTCAATATTTATAAACAAGCTCCACAGTTCAAATTTCATTTTCTATTAATGCTATGAATATCAATATAAATATATCCAAATGCATCAATCAAGTTACAAATCAAATCATATACAAATGATAACCAAGATATGACCTGTGACAGATGAAGGTACCTACAGATCTCTTTTAAATGGTATGTACTTTAAAAATAAACGAAAAACTGTTGCTGGGAGCCAAACCACAGCACTTGCCAGGCAAATTCTCTATCACTGAGTTAAACTCTCCACACCAACAAATAAAATCTGCATTTCAACTTTCTTATTTTAAACAAATTACTATCCCTATTGGAATGATAATCTGTTAAAGAACTCTAAAATTTAACAGTATTTGGAATAAGACACATCAATTAAAAACTAACATCCTATATTAACCTCTCAAAAAAAAAAAAAACAGAACTAATATATATTCAAGATGTTTGCTTGAAAGAACTACAGCAAAAGAATCCCAGTGCAGTGTAATGGAGACAGATGGGAAGTATCCTTAATGTAGAAAACTCCAAAGACAGCTCATTTAAAAAGTAACCTAAACTGAGTGTCAGTGCATTCTACAATCCCAGCACTTAGGAGATGGAGGATGGAGGATCAGAGCTAAGGCGAGCCTTGGCTTCAGACAGAGTGTGAACCCAGGCTAGGCCTGGGCTGCATGAGACCTTACTCAAAAAATAAAAAATCAAATAAGAAAATAAGGAGGATGTAGGGGCATTAGGAGAAAGAGAGAAAGGGGTGGACTATGCAAGAGGGGGCAGTAGGGAAAGGAGGAAAGGAGTAGGGGTCAGGGAGGATGAGAAAGCACAGTTAGATGATGAATGCAGACACAAGACATACATGTATAAATATATTATTGCCAAAAGAAAGGGAGGAAGGGAAAGGAAGAGAAACAGAAACAAGAGAGACAGTCAGAGACAGAGAAAGCAAGCGAGCTTTTGAAGCTACCTGGTTTGTCAGCCACCTCAGTTCAGTCATGAAGTCCAACGCTTCATTATGTCCTTTTAAGGAACAAAATCAGAAAGAATAGCTCACACCATAATCAGCTTACTATATACTCTGACTGTGCTGCTAAGATTAAAGCTCCTAAGATGGGGGTGGAGCTTGAAGATCAAAGAACAGAAAATAATAAAATTAATAATAATAATAACTCTGTGAACCTAAGTGAAACCTTAAACCTATGTGATCACTACTACATTGAGCTACAAGGATTTATTTTTAATTTTTCATTTTAGTTGATAGCATGGCCTTAAAGAATTTCCAATCTTTGTAAATATGTGATCTATTAAAAATGTATTGCTGGCGCAATATTTCACTGGAGTATTACACAGTCTGAGCACCATTCAGCAGGTCACGAGAACTCCCAACTCCACATTCCACGAAGAAAGGTGGGCTGGCCTGAAATCACAGGCATATTAGACCACAGAAACTGGAAAACACTACTAATAGCTTTTTCTACAAGTCAGATGTCAGCACAATATTTATTCTACTAAAATTATGACACTATATTCAGTATTCATAGGCAAACCTGATGAAAGTTGTAATTTACAATAAAACGTTATTCAGAACATAAAATTCCAATTTATGTACATGAGAAAATAACTATTAAAATTAATTCATATTTTTATAGAATCAGACAGCCTTACTAAATAATTACTATATGCCAGGCACTGTGCATGGAGCTGGTGAAGAAGGTCAATAGGTGTAAATTTCACTGTGAATTTTAAAGGAGAGAAAATAAGCAAATTACCACAAATATTGCCTGTACTTCACTTACGGGTGCTTGGAAAGGACCCCGCTCACCACAAGTCCGCTGATGCTTTCCCGTCGGATGCTGTTAGAGAAGAGTGAGGGCGCAAAGGACAGTGGCAGGACCCAGAAACTCCCATTATCTGGGCCTCATAATGGGAAGAATTTAGAGGTATTTGGGCAAATACCTATAAGTTATCTCCTCAATTTTGCTAGGGTGGATTTTCAAAGTTAGTATACTGGCGTATGTTCTCAAGTATTAAGGCTTTCAAAGAGGTCATTGTAATTTTCATTATAGCTTTCAGATACTACACAAACTAAACCAGGACATAACATATGGATTTATAAGCCTTTTTTAAGTTAGGATAGATAACAGAGTGTTTTATTTAATTGACAAAAATGATGGACTGGGTGCTAGGTGTACTCTGTACTTTATAAATTACAGAATGGTAATAGTTATACTCAGTTTATATTTGAGAGAAAAGTATTTTTTATTGGACACAAAAAGTGAGATGTGGCAGAATCTTCCCTTAATGAATAAAGTTTTCAAGGAACCAGTCATTGGGTGAGTAGTCGGGCCTTCCAGGTGGGAGAAAAGAGGAGAGGCAGGAGAAGGATACTCCTTTTTGGACTGAAGAGAGCATGCAGCCACAATATTTACATGAGCGGGGTCCTTTTCGAGCACCCATAAGTGAAGTACAGGCAATA